AATGTAACTTAGATAAAGTTTAAACATTTACCAATACAACTCCTAGGCCCTTCGCCGAAGGTCCAGACCGGCATAGCCCCTCTGTTGACGTCAGTGTCGAGGAAGCGCTCCGGCCGGAACTTGTCGGGCTCCGGGAAGATGTCGGGGTCGCTCTGGATGCCGACCGCGTTCACGTACACGGGCGTGCCGGCCGCCAGCCGCAGCCGCGCGTCTATCTGGTAGTCCTGCGCCGCCACGCGGTCTATCCAACCCATGGGCACGTATTTTCTCAAAGTTTCTACAAGTATACAAATAACAAAAGTTTTTTTTTGGTTGCAAATTAAACAATTATAAGCATATTTAAATTTTAAACACATTGTAAGTAGTTATTATCTAAATTATAATTTACATATTATGATATTGACAAAAAATACGTTATTATAAGTAAACGTACCGTCTATAACAGCGTTCATGTAAGTCAAGTTAGACAAGCTTCCCGCATCAATATCTTTCAACTTTTCCTCATATTTTTGTAACTCGAGAAGTTCGTTGTACATATTTTCCTGGAACAGATTTTACTTGTAGATAGAAACGATACCTGTTACAAATAAAAATGGGTGAATTCTAGGAATTCAAAACGACGAAAGTCTTCTAAGCCGTAATCTGATGCAGTTAACAAAAACAAATTCAAAATATCAATGACTTTACATGATAAAATCTCATAAAGAGGTTTTTGAAACATAAAAAATCTCTCATCACACCTGTATTTCGGGATGGAATGCAAGTTCGTAGACGCACCAACTAAGAATGCTGGCCGTGGTATCAAATCCCCCCTGCACAAACACTGCGGCATGTGCTATCAATTTCTCTTCTGGCATATCTGTAATAAAGATAGTTAAAACACCCGTTGTTAGATAATGAAATAATAGATCTAAATACAAATCTAGCAAAAGTAAACTATGACGTAATGTAGTTTGTAGTTATTTCGGAAAGGAATTCTAAGCACCAAAATAAGTACTAATTTATGAAAAAGGTGTTTAAACACTTAAGAAAGAAAGAAAGAAAGGAGTTTGTTTATTAAAAAGAAAGAAAAGGAATTCATTCGGCATGTGCTGCGGTGTACACCGAAGCGCCAGTTTTCAATGAATTCTGTTTATGAATTTACATTTTGTTGTCTCATAACCTTCATTATCTTTGGCGCAATCCTGTTTGATCTTTATGAGAGCATCGAGCAGGTCTCTAGTCTCCTTCACCTCGTTATCGTACCCCCCGCGCTGCGCCAATGCGGTCTGGTAAACTCGCTTCAATATGTCTATTGAAGTTTTAGGG